TAGTCCGGAATTCTGGGAGTTGAAGTCCACAAGTCTTAAAGTTGCCAAGGTTGGACACCCCTGGTTTAAACAATTTGGTCCCATGTCTTGTTGGGCTTTCAAGGTGACAACCAGCATCTTGGATTGGACCAGGAAGCAGATTGTCAATGCAGGTCCTTTAAGAGAGATGACACATGTGCAAATCTAGATTGGGACAATACTGTGCGGGCTGCCACAGTTTGAACCAGCTTGAAGCTTCCAGATACCTCCAGATACAAAATCAAACTTTGTCACCAATCCTCATCTTCTTTTAAAGACCCCATTATCCCTTGCAGGGTGGAGCCTGGGCCACTGAATGGAGCTGCGTGATGACTGGCCAGATGCCCTTCCTGTCCCCAATGCGGAGTTTTGTAAACTTTGTCCCCAATGCTCCCTTACAAATTGGGAGCCTTGTCCTGGATGAGGCTCACAAAGAGAGACTCCCAGCTCCCTTTGACCTACCTGGCAGCACCAGCGGAGATATAAGTTCCTAAGCGAGGACATGGTGGACAAGTAACTGAGCCCAGTGTCTGTTATCCGTACGCACCTGCCAGAGAAATGAAGATGGACAACTGTAAAGTTAAAAAACCCTCTTTAAGCGGTTTATAGAGTCAGCCTATTGGCACCAACAATCTGGGTCCTCATGTTACCCACCTCAGGTATGGATGGAAGGCTGAGTCAACTTTGAGCCTGGTGAGATTCGAACGGCCAAATTGCAGTCAGCAGAAAATAGTCTGCAGTACTGCACTCTAACCACTGCGCCACCGAGGCTCAGTGTCCCTTTGCCTCTTTGGATGGTATCCTTTGTAGATTCTGCTCTGTGGCTTTTTTTTTGGCTCTGTCAGTTGAAGACCATCAAAGGGATGACCCCAAGCTGTGCAAACATTTCTATTCCCTGGTGTACCTAATTCCCTGGGGCGTCTTATTTCAGGCCCCAATCTTGTCACCTGGAAAAGGAATCGGGAGGATTCAGGGCCCGACCTTACCTATCCAGCACCAGCTCTTCCAACTTGTGGAGGTCACAAGCGATGTACTCAAGAGCCATGTCTGTGATCCGAGGGCACCACGACAGGTCCAAGCTCCGAAGCTTGCGGAGGTTCTCTGCTACCAACTCCACGCCATCGTCCGTCACCTTCGAGCAGCCGGAGAGGCTGAGCACGCTCAGATTGGGGAGGCTGTGCACCATGTTCACCACACCGTGGTTCGTGATTTCCCAGCAGGAGTTCAGGCGGAGAGTGTGGGTGGTGTAACCTTGCTTGGCAGTGAAGTAAGCCAGGGCCGTATCCGTCACGTGATAGGCTTGAAGGTTGAGCTCAGTCAAGTTGGGCAGCAGCTGTGAAATGGCCGCAATGGCATCGTCAGCCACATTAATGCAGTCGCTGACACTCAGGGAGCAGATGCGGGCATTCAGACTTGACCAGAGACCGGCCTCGGTGAAATCGTTGCATCCAGACAGCTCCAGGTGCATAAGCCCCTGCATCTGTTCCAGCATGACCTGAAAGTTGCATTAACGGAGGGATACAATCAAGATCAAGGGAAGTACTAATACCACTCTATTTAAAACCAAATTTTATTAATTTTCAAAGACATACAAAACATAGATACACAAAAACACAAAACATAAAAGCATAAAAAATCTCTTTTCTGAAAGTTGCTTAGTCCCGGGTTATCACTCTTGGTACAGACACAAATTCAAATTCATATTCATTTTACATACCATTTCATATCTTATTAACGTTTTCAATTTTCTATATTTCTCCTCACTTTTAAATTTTCTCAATTTTATTTTATTTATCTCCTCTCAATTCGAATCATAATATTTATTATTCTTTGTCTGTTCTATTTCCAACCATCCATTTATTTTTCTTCTTTAAAAAAGAAAAAGAAAAACTTCTCCTGTACACTAAATGGAGTTTGATGCCTTTATCTCCTTCCTCTATATTTATAATAATATAAAACACATAACTTACATTGGGATTCTGTCTGGTACATTCTAAAATTATACTATATTATCAAAAATAATACAAATATTATTAATATTGATATTCATTTATATCTTAAACATCTAACACATTACTTTTCAGTTAAATCACATACTTTTATGGGAGCACCTATTTTTCATAGTTATTCCCCCCCCCACCTCACATATTATAGCTCATTATTTCATTACGATGTTCCTCCTTCTTCTACTTCAAATCTCTCATTTCACAAAAAATTTCGCTAATATACCATAATCTAATCATTAATATTAACGGAAGTACTAATACCACTCTATAAAGCCTTAGAAAGGCCACACCTAGAGTACTGCATCCAGTTTTGGTCACCACACTATTAAAAAGATGTTGAGACTCTAGAAAAAGTGCAGAGAAGAGCAACAAAGATGATTAAGGGGACTGGAGGCTAAAGCATAGGATGAACAGTTGCAGGAACTGGGCCTGGCTAGTCTAGGAAAGAGAAGGACCAGGGGAGACATGATAGCAGTCTTCCAATATTTGAGGGGCTGCCACAGAGAGGAGGAAGGGGTCGAGCTATTTTCCAAGGCACCTGAAGGCCAAACAAGGAACAATGGATGGAAATTGAACAAGGAGAGATTCAACCTGGAAATAAGGAGAAATTTTCTGACAGTGAGAACAGTCAACCAATGGAACAGAAGTTGGGTTGGACTAGATGACCTACAGGGTCCCTTCCAACTCTGTTAAAGGCTCTGTTAAAGGTAGGCTAAGTTCACAAAACTCACCCTAAACCTGGTAGAACCAAAAGCCCGGCTGCCTTTACCCAACACACTTCACATGTTTTCTGTAGTGGTACTCCTCAACTTGCAACCACAACTGGGATTTCAATTCCAAGTGATGCGACTGGACCTGATTTTATGATCATGTTTACCTTGATTGTTAAGAGATTCACTGCATTCAATCACTGCAGGAATTCACCCATGGGCTGAGTTCACACAACAAACTCAACTTGGTTGGTGAATTAACCAATTAGACTTTTAGGTTTGCAAAATGTGTTGTACCGAAGAATATGGATCTGTACAACACACTGCAAGTTAAACCTCCCACAAACTAACCAAGATTAACATCCTGGCAGAGGGCTGCAGGAGACTGTTGCAGCCAAAAACGGAGCCCAGGAGCCTGCTTTCGCTGGCAGAGTGCTGGGGCCACCATAGGCGCCTCCTGACACGAGTGACATCGAGCTGGCCATGCTCCCCCCGGCCATGCCTCCCCCCCACTCCCCCAGGTCAAACACAACCCTGATGCGGCCCTCAATGAAATCAAGTTTGATGCCCCTGATATAGAGTCTCATAAGGTGGAGTGAAACCTATCGCTGATATCCCAAGCAGAAGCGTGACATTTTTGCAACTTCTGCAAGTTTTCTTTCCCAAGCTTTGTGCCACAGAATTCTCAGTTAATTTCCACTGGGATGCTCTGAACATTGGCTAAATCAAATTGAGGGTGTGGGGCTGGTTGCCCTTCCAGACATTGCTAAACTCCAGCTCCCAGTCGCCCCCACTCAACATGGCCAACAGTGAGTGAAGCATCTCGGCAATGTCGAGAGGACCACAATTTTCCCGGTTCCGGGATTAAATAATATATGCTTCAATTTGAGGCATCTTCCTGTCTTACCGAAGTTCCTTCATAAGTCAGGGAAAGTTCATATCCCTGGTTTAAACGACTGTAGCACCAGGGAAATCAAGAGATCCGGGGAGTTCAAATGAATATAAACATTTATTGCAAACTTAAGGTCTCTACAAGAATCTGAACTACTAACGGCCAAAGGAAATTGGCAGTAGATAAAAGTCAAAAGAATTCAAGGCAGGCTGGACTTAGATCTCTTGTGGGATCAAAGGGACTTGAGACTGATGACGTGTTTGACTCCTCCCTCAGGCTCAGCCTGGTCATCTCCACATCTAGTTTTGTTTCAGAGGAAAGACACAAGAAGCTATAAGGATGTTTTGTGCGTCATCGTGCCAATGACGCAAAAAACATGTGCTGCTAACACCAAATCCATCACTTTGATCTCTTGAGCAAGTGACATCATTGCAAATGCTTGGTAGACCAAATGCCTCTGGTTGAATCTTCTGCACTCTCCTCTCAGTTATAGCTGAATCATTTTTCACTCAAGCAGACAGTACTGCTTTAGTCTCCACCAGTATAAAACCAACACTTTTAATTGGTAAAGTCACCGAGAGCCATTTGCTTGATTAATCCGTTGGGAACGAAATAATCTGCAATATGATGATTTCAGATGAAGCTGCTCCTTTTTCCCCCCTCCCTGTTACTCTATTTTAGTTCCGTCACTATGTCAGGAAACGATCAAAGACAACTTTTCCAATTGCTGTAATTGTAACTGCTCACAAATCGCAACTTCGCCCATCTGCTTAAATATCTCAGAAAGACATCTGTTCCAAAGGGGTTTAGGCAGCATGTGGAGACACCCCTGGGTTGCTCTGATGGGAAATGGTGGCTTTTTGGGAACAAGGCCACCTATCAGTTAGGACTGGGTACCCCTCACAAAAAGAACCAGAGTTGGATCCAATTAGTCTGGTGTTAATTTTGTACAACAAAACGGGGCTTCCTGTGGGATGAACGCATGTAGACTCAAGCTGCAAAATACTGCCTGAGTGAGATGCCGTTGGAAGCGAGATTTATTGGCTGTGTTCCTACTTCATGCTAAGCCATGGCTGACATTAACCGGGATTGGCTGAATACCCTGTAATGGCTAGGTTCCCACTTGAGACTAAGCCATGGTTGACAAAGCAGAAAGTGATGGAAGCCAATTTGTAGTAACAATACGACATAACTTCATATAATTCCAAAGGTGCTTTTTTTTTCTGGAGGCAACTGGACTTTCTTTTTTTTTCTTTGAAGACCTTTTCTCATCCAAGAAGCTTCTTCAGCTCTGACAGGATGGTGGGGAATGGAAGGATTTATATTCCTTGCAGACAGCTGGTCATTTGCATCCTTTCAGAGGGTCGTTGAGGCCATTTGGAAGTTTGCCTGTGTCCTCAGGGTCACCTGAATAACGCAAATGACCAGCTGTCTGCAAGGAGTATAAATCCTTTCATTCCCCACTATCCAGTCAGAGCTGGAGAAGCTTCTTGGATGAGAAGTGAAATGTCTTCAAAGAAAAACCAGAAAGTTCAGTTGTCTTCTGGAAAAGCACCTTTGGGACAGGACCATGACCTAGATGACCGAGAATTTCCATAATTTCATATAATGTGCATATTCCATCTGGAATCTCTGAATGAAAGGCTGTTAAATGTCCCCTATTTTGGTAGCTATTCACATTCATCATTTGTGGTACTGAGAAGACACTGGTGCTCCACCGTAGCTTCTAGCGGAAGCCCACAGGTAAATCTGATTTATGCAAAGATACCTGGAGGCACAAAAGTGTTCCTTACATACGTGTTGCGGTGGCATTGTCCACCAAGAGGCCCCTTCTCCAAAGTGGAGAGGGCTATAAATCTATCTGATCCTCTTTAAAATGGGCTGGCTGGGTGGGATCGATGCAGAAAAATCTCCAACAATCCCACACTTATGGCATGCAGGCCACATAAAAACCAGGTGGAACTTTCATCAGGTTCTCCTGGATGTCAACTTGCCTCTTTTGATTATAGCCATCTATTCCATAACACTCTCCATTAGTCCCATAAAAAAAAAAAAGACAAAATGGGAACAACTGTTGAGAAGCTACCTCCAGCCTAGAGAGCCCAGACTGAACTCTACAACAAAAGCAAGACCATCAGCCTGGAAGAAGACGACCTACCTCAAGACCTGCATCCGTGATGGTTGATCTCTTAAGGCTCATAGATTTCACCCCTTTCTTGGAGAGGGCATAATTATCAATGAACTCACAGATGTCCAAGTCGGAAACCCCCACGAGGCAGAAACCATCAAACCCCCGGATGGCGAAACCTTGAAGGTTGACAAATTCCTTATCTCCGTTGGGCAGGACGTTGTAGAGCTCTTTGGTGTCCAGCACCGGCGTGAGGCCCACCCAAAATTTGGGTTGATACAAGACCCTCCTCCACGCTTTGCACACCTGGGCCAGGACACATTTCTCGCAGGCTGAAAAGTACATAAACAAACGGTTCAGGATCTTTTCATCCACCGCCAGGTGTCTTTTGGTGGGGGAGCCAGAGAGGTCTTCCAGGGATGGCATGTCCCCATTGGCTGGAGAAATCTCATCGGAGGGAAGTCCCACGGTGGCGCCTGAAGGTCCTCCGGCCAGAGCCGCCAAAGACAATGGTGAAGTGAGACCAGGCATGGACAAGTCACTGTGATTCATTAAGGCTGGGCTGATGATTGCAGGCACGGAAGACTGGCACAAGCGGTTTTTCATCGCTGGGGTCCCTTTGGTGATGCTCGCGGAGCCGAGTCCATTGGCCTGGGTGGGGAGTTTAACAAGTCCATTCCGGGGTAGACATGGGGGCTTGGTGTCGCTGTTGCCAAGGTTCGACATCTTCCAAGATTGCTCTGGAACACAACACAGAGAGGCATTCAATGTCAGACCCAAGTCCAAAGACGACACCGTAGAATCCAATCAAGCCCAATATTTTTATTGGTTTGAACCCAACAGACAGAATCTTGCCAGACTAAAGCAGTAACCATCTAACCCAATAGATATACCCTGGGAGATTCTAAGGTGAGGCTACCTTGAACCTCTTCTGCCATCCTAGCAGTTTGAAAGTGTGCAAATGCGAGTAGATAAACTTTGGTGGGAAGGAACAGTCTTTTATATACCTTGGTGTATAATCTTGCTGATCACGTAACCACAGAAGTGTTTTGGACAATACTGGCTCCTTCAGCTAGGAAATGGAGATGAACAATGCCCCCCTAGAGTAGGACTAGACACGGGAAAACTTTGCCTTTAAACCTTTAATAGACAGAATCTTGCCAGACTAAAGCTATTGCCTTCTAATCTAATAACAGAAGTACCTGGGAAGTTCTAGGTGTGGTTACCCTGAACCTTTTTCTCCCCCCTCCATGCAGTTTAGCACTGTGCAATCTCTTGTTTTGGGCCCCTCTTTGGAATGAGCTGCCTCCTCCCTGGGAAACCCCAGTTCTCTTGCGCAGACTCTCCTCCCCTCCTCCTTTAATTGTGTGATCCATTACACAGGTAGCTCCATGTCTCATCATTTCAACTTGTCAATATCCTGAACTTAGCCATTCTCAGAAGAATCCTTCCCTGGGAAATTGCAAAAAACAAAACAAAACCCAAATGCAGTTTCATATTAATGCTAAGAGCACAATATGAAGGGACCATAGTCTACCAAGTCTCCAACTCATGAAATTGCTACCTTTTAAAATCTGTAATGAACCAAAAGTGGAACCATTCGGTGTTTTACCATCTAAATGAAAAAGCAGCCATCCTTGGGGCCAGCAGAGCAAAAATGCAGAGCAAAAAAGAGCAGAACTGACTACAAGTCTTGTCCCTGTGGGGTGAAAAGGACTGTTCTTGAATTATTGATCCCCACGTAGTTAATTCATGAACTCTTTGTGGATGGGAGTTTAGCTGGAGTCCCTCACCGTGCTAAGCCGTAAAGCGTTTGCTTTGCAGTTTAAGATGAGTAAGGTGTGGAAAAACAGGCACCGGATTTTTTTTCAATAAATAGGAAAACAAACCATAGATTACTTTGATTTACACACAGAGTTCACGGAGTCTTGAGCGGCAAGTCAGAAAGGACAACATGAAACAGTGGGCTGCCTGGATTTTATGTGCATTCCCCCTGCCTTGATTTGCATATTCCAGCACAATATGTCATCTCCCCATACAGCCTTTGTGCGCTAGCAAAATAAATCACGGATAATTTATGCTTGATACAATAGGTGCATTTTATGGGCAGTTTATCTCAGACATCTTCCACAAACAGCCTCTACGCAAGGGGTTTTGTGTTCTGTGTGTCAAGGTAGCAGTGACATCGTTTTAAAAGTGTCATGACCAAACCCTTGACTTTTTTGGTTCCCCTGTGGACTCCTCTGTCTATTTTACCATAGTCTCTCTGGATGTTACAAGGCACTTGTTTCCCAATCAGTGCTTTTTCCGTTTTTTGTCCCCTAAAAATGTTCCCTCTCACCTTTCACACTTGTCCTATAACTCAGAGTTTTTCAATCTCAGCAACTTTTAAGATGTGTGGATTTCAACTCCCAGAATTCCCCAGCCATGCCAGATTTTTTGCTTTTAATGGTGTTTTTTTTGGGGGGGGTGGGAGGGGGTTGTGTTGCTACAAACTTTTTATAAACAGGCCATTCTGGTGAGTTTCCCCACATCATTTTCATTGCAATACCCTGGATTGCAATGAAAGGATTCTTGATATATATATACTTTTTGGCAAGCCCAAAGAGCGTCAAACTTTTACAAAGTACTGAAGTAGCTCCGTAGTTTAATCATCCTGACCCCAAACACTTCCAAGCTGCGACTGCAAATAGCTGGCAGCAAAATCCTACGAGCTTCTGCTACCATTTGCTGGAGCTATGCCTTGAAGGAAATTTTCAGAAGCGGATAACAACAACAATAGTAATAATAATAATAATAATTAAAATGTCCAGAAGCATTTACTGAGCCCTGGGCGGGGGGGAGCTAGTATTTGGAAGAGATTTGGTCTGGTTCCTTTATGTCCTATGGAGATGTAAGAGGGAGAGGAGAAAAAACACAATTACACTTGTAATCACACATGACAATTCTGTTATGGTAGCCTGTCTCGATAATGTTTATCTGAGCAACCTCTGAAACAGTGGTCACCAACCAGTGGGATGGGGACCACTGGTGGTCTGCAAGAAAATGTTGGTGGTCCGCAGAGAAATGTCACCCCCAAAGCAATTAATCCAGGCTGCGCAGGAACACAAGGCTGTGCCACCCACATGGCCTGCGGGAACACAAGCCTTGCGTGGCTTGCATTATGAACAACATGAGGTAGTGAGGGGAGGGGGGAAAGGGCGGAGGGGGGGGAATTTGCTCCACTTGCCCCATGAGCCTCACCTGGCCACCGGGCTGCTTCTTTCCGCTTCTTTCTTCTTCTGCTTTTGGCTGCACACAAGGAAAGCAGCAAAAGTCTTTCTTTCTCTCCCCCTCAAACTCCCTCAGAAATGAGTCTTTGGGACCCTGCAAGGCCTCCTGCTCCAAGAGGCTGCGCCAATGTAACAAGTTGCACAAAGACTAATATCTGGCGGAGTTTGGGGGAGAGAAAGAAAGACTTCTGCTGCTTCTGCTGCTTTCCTTGCGTAAAGCCAGAAGTCTCTCTCTGTCTCTCTCCCCCTGAGAACAGAGCTGGAGACGGTATCCTGCAATCCCAAATAAAGAGTGATCAATCGGTAGGAAAACGGGCTGGGGAATTTTCCTGCAGACTTTTTTTTGGAATTTTCTCAGGGTCTCTGGTCCGCGGGATTTAAAATGATGAGTTTGGTGGTCCCTGGGGTCCAAAAGTTTGCCGATCCCTGCTCTGAAGGATAGTCAACCTGGGATGTATTTCCAGATTGAAGATAACAATGGGTAGGTGGAGGTTTGGTGGAGGCTAACTTGTCATTAGCAGGTATAGAAAACTAAATGTACCTGCTTAGAAGTCCAGCTAGGACTGGATTCATAGGCAAGTGCATTTAAGTAGAAGAAGGCGTCTTAGAGATAAACTGGGCTCCTAGGCAGGTGCATTTAGTATTCTAGTTTCTCAGCTTTAATATGGAATATTTTTCCCATTTCCCAGTCTGGCCTGTAGCCCTTCGGTTTCTTAACATCTCCCATTAAGGGTTTAAGTCAGTGTTTCTCAATCTTAGCAACTCTAGGACATGTGAACTTCAACTCCCAGAATTCCCAGCCAACTTTGGATGTATGGACTTCATACATTCAAAGTTGCCAACTTTGGTCTACATCCTGCTTAGCTCGAGGGCCATGTGATTTTCTTGGTAACAAATTGGAAACGGGTTGCGATGATCTTATTCTGGAATTGTGGTCAACTTCCCAGTTCAGCTACTCCTGGAAATTCTAGACAATTCCTCTCTAAGTCTAACCCTACTAAGCTATTTGAAGATGAGCCAAGGTCAGCTAAGAGCCACTTGCTATAACCCGTAAAACTCACACACTGCATTGAGCGAATATGCATACGTTGCCTACTTTCTGATGAGCGCGTGTCTGCTCTTATTTCCAAACCCCGTCACATTTCACAAAGATTAGCCTCCTCTCTGGAGAATCTATTGTTGAGCTAAAAGGTGTATTGGATTTTTCAAGAACCCTCGATCAATACCACTGAAAAACCAGGTAATTTAAGCCTCAACTATTGTGTTGAGTGGAATGTCGTATTTCTAAAAAAGAATAGGAAAAGGATCAAATCTGCAGTTGAAAAGGAGCCCTCCCCATTCCTGCAGGAAGCTAATGATTTTAAATATTTAGGAAGAAATAGTTGGGGACCTCAGAGGTCTTTTAGTCCAACCTTTATAAGACTTTATAAGATTCCAGTCAAATGGTTGTCATCTATTTTTTAAAAACCTCCAGTGATGGGGCATCCACAACTCCGAAAGGCAAGCAATTCCGTCGGTTAATTGTTCTCCCCGATTAAAAAAAGGATCTCCTTACTTCTAGATCGGGTCTCTTTTTAACAAGCTTCCACCCAACATGAGAAAACTAAAAATATTTCCTTCCTTCCCAAGAAACTTTCATCAAACCTGTTTTTTTCCCCCCCTCTGGAAACGTTTCCAAAGCAAGGGCTGCTTCACCGGACCGAAAGTGACCTCGTAGGGAGGGAAACAGGCAGAATTTCTAGCATTGGCTCAATGCCCGGATAAATCTGCTATTTGAAGCTCAGCTCTAACAGCTGGTTGAACAGCTGGCCACCACGTTGCCTTCTTGACCCGCTGGGGACCTCCCGACCAGGATTTGGATAGTTTCCTTCCCTTTAAATATGCCAGTTAAGGATTGATGGCCCCTTTAAGGTCCTTCCATGTGTCAGGTCAAGCTTTCCACCCAGCCTGGAAATGTTCTACACGCACAATCTGTGTGTCACATCCAATTTGTCTCAGGCACACACCAGCCCAAACTTGAGAGCAACCAGTGAGCCGGTTTCTCCTCTCCAGGGATTCCGGCTGAGAGACACGCTGAAGCCAGGCTTGGATCCTGCGGTCTGTGAGCTTCCTGCGATCACGTGCCAATGCAGATGGCTGGCTTGGAGAAATATCCTCTCCGTTCCACGCATTTGACAAACATGCTGTTTTTCTTGCTGCCAACGAATAAGGCCCGCCTGAGCCTTCCTTTAATTCAGAGGACGAGCCAGCAGGAAGGGAAAGCCATTCAGAGGCAGAACTATTTCTTTTCCGAAGGTGGTGGTGGAAGAGGGAGACAATTATCCGCCCTTAAAAGCTTTGTATCCCATATTTCAAACCACGGTCACAGCCGTGACAGAGGAAAGATCTGGATTCTGCAGCCATTTTAAATCGAAGCGAAAGAGCAGGCGTCCGTTTCTCACGAAGCACACCAAG